AAAAATTTATTACAGCGTTTTATTAACATTTTGATGAAGCAAAATTGCATGTTTTTGGTGATTTATAATCATTTTTGAACATTAACAATTTTTTGTTTGAACATATTTTAGTACATTTCTTGAACTTTTTTTTTCTAACACATCATTAAGCGTTAATACGAACATTAAATAAAAAAATTAAAGAGATTTTTTACAGCTAAATTGGCGCTTTTTTACTCGTTGAGACTTTTTATTATTTACTAGCACAAATAGTGTTAACTTTTTTTCGCGATTTAATTACAAGACCACCTCTTTGTAACTTACAGTGAAAAAACAAAGACTGAACTACTTTCTTCCTTGTCGCTTCACAGTAGGGTAGATTAACACCCACCACTAAGAGATTATACTTTGTACAGCCGATTCCTTACTTTTTATCTTCAAAAGGCATTTTTTAGCTTTTTAACCATTTTAACCATGTTTTTGATTTAATTTACAAGTCAAAAATAATTGAAGTGATATGATAAAATAAGTCTAACAAAAGCAGCTGAACGTTTTAAATACGGTCTTTTAAACTCTTTAAAAGCTAATGGCTGTGGTAATGTTTTTCTTAAGAACTTTTCAGTGATCAGTTTGATTATGCTGCTCTCGATATTTTGAACGTCAATCAAAAGTTTTATGTCATTTGTTACTTCTCTCGTACTGCTGTATCTGATGAATGCTGTTTGCCTTACAGATTTTTACATATTTACTTCAGATTTGGATTATAACATCGCAGATGAACCTCTTCTTGCTTACACGGAACTTATGTTAATCTTCAAAATGTTATCAAGAATTAATGCTCCATTGTTATTACATCTCGTTTTACTTTTTTTTTCTTTCTTTTTTTTTTGAGAAACATTTTTATGTAAATAAAGCTCTAATTTAGAATATGATATAATTTAAAAGTTCTTTAAACTTCACATTTACTGTACATTATGGCCACTGTCTTAATCATCAAATACTTTTTGTAGTATTTCACGTGCAGAAAACTGCTTACTGCTTCCAGTTTTTTTTTATCCAACTTAACGACTTCAGCAACTTCAGTGGCAAACATAATTAATTCAATCACCAGACTAAATCTTTTCCCCTCTTCTTTGTTATAATGTCCTTTGGAAGAAAAAGGCCTTTATTATTGAAATGTTTGACGAACTTAATTTTTTCTTTTCTATTTTGTCGCTTTCGTCCATCTCCAAACAGTTTTTTTTATTCTTTCGATTATAAAAAGAGTGTACTATACATAGTAAAATCGCAATTTTACTGCTTAATATGGATAATGCGCCTGTTGAAATTCGTCTCAGTAGTTTAAGGACGGTTGCTGTGCCAGAAATTAAAACGGAAAAAAAAATAGTGCATACACTGCTATCAAAATTGTCATTAGTTATCAACAGTTTCTGGGGGTTCGTAAACGATATTTATTCAGCAGTAAATTCTGTTTCTGCTAGACCCATAACATAATTAAATTATTTTGGGAATTTTTTAATGATTCTTGCTGAATAAATCAGCGCCAAATTTTTAAGAACCAAGTCGTTTGTCTGAGGAGTTCGGCGTCAAAACTTTATTTATTCGCAGCATCTTTACGGCTTTGATGAAAAGCTTCTTACCCTAAAATTAACAAGGGACGACTGTATACTATATCGAATATAGTCAAGAACACTTCTGTAATAGTCTGCTTATCAAGTGTTTTTTCTTTTTTTTTTTTTTTCTCGACTGTAAATTCTTAGAAACTAAACTGTAATCCAGAAAATGTTCTTCAGAACGCAGGAAAGGTCTTTTGGTTAAATAACAACAAAATAAGTAGTTTCTAAACTCGCTTAAGTAAGTCGACTTAATACTAATACAGTTAAATACAGTTGTTTGTCACAAGAAAAAAAGCTACAAAATGCTGATGAACAACGTCTTATCGGCAGCTTATCGGCACTTTTTTACCATCTTTTGCGGCTCTACCATCGTCACTTTTTGTTCTTTCCGACATTTTGCTTCCAAATTTTTGGAGCATTTTTGGTTCTTCTCTCTCCCGTTACGTAATGACATTGATTTCATATTACAGTTCTCACAAGCTTTTACGAGTAAAACAACCAAATATTTTTTTTTATTGAGCTAGTATATAAAACAGAAGTTAAAATTATTTGTTTTCTTAAGAATGTTTCTTAGTGCCATTCAAACAGAAATGAAGTACCTGCTGTGGTAGTTCAAATTTATTCAGCTTGCCAGCTATAAAAAACAGCAATTAAACTATTTTAGATAACACATTTTTAATCCTTCAAAAAGTAACATTTAACAAAATTATAGCCATCACGCTTCCTGTTTAATACAAACCAACAGATGATGAAGTTTCTTCGTTGTTCACACGTCGGTTCTTTAAATCCTCAACATTGGCCGCTTCTATGTAATTTTCGCTGTCGTGAGGACTGTGATGAGTCAAGTGCGGAGTACCAATTTGAAAAAAACCGGCTTCCAAATACCTGTAGGTAAATCCTTCTTCGTATCAAAAAAAATTTGTATAGGCACTACAGAATTTTAAATTAAAAAAGTATTTACAGCAAGATTTACCTGACGACTAAGACTTGTACAAATTTTAAGCCTTCAGATATATGTCCATCAGGCATACACTTACCTAAGTATGATTTCAAGCCAACAACAACTTGCTGTGAACCCATATAAATAGTCTGCCGGAAAGACTACTTGCGTGAAAATCATTGATATCAAAGTTTCTGGGCTAAATCTGAAGGTCTCATCAGTTAACTGATACTTGATTAATGTTGTATCAAAAAACGTTGCACTGAAGTGAATCCATGCCAGAAGAACTCCTAAATGTAGAAGGAAATTTAGTATAACACTTTTTAAAGTTGCTCCTTCTTAAATTCGCCCGGATTAACTAGGTTTTTCTGTGGTGTAGGTTTTTTTATTGTCGGTAACAGCTTTTTATTTAGAACTTTCGCAACAGTTTTATTTTTGCTTCAGACGGTTAATGATAAAAGATAACGTAGAAAGTCTTTTTGCTGACCTGCACTGGCGACAGTGGGTAAAAATTTACTGGTTGCTTTGATGTCTCTATCGTTAAGAGCCAGCAATCTTCGAACTGCTAGGTATTGAGACCACTGACTAGCCTAAAATTTTAATATTAATTTTCTTTATGGTAATCTCCTCTATTATCGCGAATATAATACTTTAAATTCACTACTATTTAACCTTTACTTCTTTCTCCCAGCCGGAAACAAAAAACTAAGGAAAATTTA